ATCAAGATGGGGATAGCTTCCACCACCACAAAGATCCTTGTCATCCTTTGCTACAACTTCCCTTTTCTTTCCTCTACCTTGTTTCTACAACTAGCCTGTTCTCTAATTTTACTATGAAAATACAGAAAAGGAATTGTACACAAAATGTAACCTTTTGTGATGGGCTTTCCTCTGCTGCCCACACACTTCACAAGCTTTTTGAAGACCCCCTCCATGTTGTTCTATCAATAGTTTTGTTCTTTTTACTCTCTACCCTTTAGCAAGTGACTCTCTACCCTTTAATCTCTACCCTTTAGCAAGTGACCTCTCCTTTCCTTCCCTTCCAGTTCCTGGTGACCATCAAAGAATGTCTCTTAGTGTCAAACCCTTTTCTTGACCCTTTACAACAGTAATCTTACACAATGTTTTTTTTTTTCTAATTAATTTTGCTCAGCATAATGTCTTCCGGGCTCATTCACATTATGAAGCATTTTGCAATTTCATCATTACAATGCATATGTTACATTGTATGCACCAAATTCATTTATCTATTCCTCCACTAATGAACCCTTAGGTGGTTTCTATGTCTTTGCTATTGTGAATAGTGCTGCTATGGACATAGGTGTGCATATATAACTATTCATGCATACACACAAATATTTGAGGGTCCCCAGAGGGTTTGAAGAACTGAAATTTCAAAATCAGAACACAAGGCCTTCTTCAAAGCCATTGGGTGAAGTGGTATCTCCAAACTCTCAGATAGCAATTTAGTGCATTAGCCATTTATTCCACCTTATAAGTGTTGACTAACTTTGAAAACGGATAGCAGAGATATTTACATAACATGGAGAATGAAATCAATGTCAAAATATTGTACATGTTAAGTATTGAAGTGGAAAATGTTTTGTTTCCCCCTTTTTTTTTTAAATCTGGGAAAAATTAAATCAAATGTGAATATAGAAAGATACTTCCCAGTAAACCCCTAAGTACTTCCTCAGGCCTAAAAATAGTTTATTAAAAGAGGATGGAGGGGGGAAGGGGCAAAGAATATAGTCAAAATTTTCTTTGTAGATTACTTTCTGTTTTATTTGGAATTGATTACAAGGAAATTCACTCCATATCAAAGGGGGAAAACGTGGTCTTAAACATAAAACTACATAGACTAATACCATGATAATGGAGAGACATTGCTAGAAGAGAATCAGAAGAAGGTAGAGCTATTAAGAAGAAAGAAATCATCTGGCATGTAGATTGAGTGTGTGAAGGGAAGAATCTACAGAATCCCCGAGCACATGGCTGCTTTCTCCCATGGGCCACTACCTGAAAGTTAGAAAGGAAAAAAGGCAGTGTAATATTTCTGGCAATTTCTTCTTTTTTTGAGACACTGTCCAACTGCAGAAAGACGCCTGAAATAAATTCAGAAAATTGATCTTAAAGTCATGAAGGTTAAATGGATTATGATTAAACTGCAACCCGGCCAGAACACAGTTCAATTTCTGACTGAGAACAAGTGATGATTGCATCCTCTAGCTTCCTTAGAGAGGAAATAGCCAACATCTCTGGAGAAAACGCCAGCTTCAATCTGTTTATTAGACAATGTCTGCCATACATAAAACATACATTATATACAAAATAGCAGGAATGTTATAACAGAAAGAAGATATAAAACAAGTAGACCTACTTGTATAAAGGGTACCCCCCCAAAAAGAAATCAGAATTTTTTTTCAAAACTATGTATTTAATTTTTTTTACAAAACAACCTTATCACATTCAAAGTATTCTCCATTACACTTAGTACATTTGTCTAATCTGCAATTCCATTCTTGGGAATGTTTTTCAAACTCATCTGTTTGGATGGTTGACTGCACCTCCCTCTTTTTTTCTTCACTTCTTCTGCTTTGTCAAATTTCTGTCCTTTCATGTCCCTCTTCATTTGCAGAAACACAAAAGCCACACAGAATGAGGTCAGGTGAGTCAGGTGTATGGGGCAAGGGAAGTATGCTGCTTTTTGACAAACACTGGCGCACTGAGATGGCTGCGTTGCAGGTGTATTGGGGTGGCAAATCCAGTCCATCTGCCAAAAATCAGGAATTTTTTTGTTGCACAGTTATGCAATATTTTCAGAACCTCTAAATAGAAAGCTTGATTAAGAGTCTGACCTGGTGGAACTCCAAAGGCACTACCAATTCAACATTTTCGTCCATTAGGGAAGTTGACGGACATCCAGAACAAAATTGTCATCAATCAACATTTCACCTTTGAGATGAGATCTCGTATATTTGAGTTTTCCCCATAGTGCTGTCTTTGTAAGCTGTATTCAACGTCACCAGTTTCTGTGGCATTTTTCCCTAGCCGGAGACAAAATTTCACAGCCACATGCTGTTCTTTTAATTTGGACATCACAAAAACAAGGTTCAAGTGAAACTGCTTTCATGAAAAAAATTCATTGTAACCAGAGAGAACTTTCCTAGGTGACGTCACTGGATGCACTAACTCAAAGCAAGTTGCTCAATGCTTGCCTAGCAGGAAGAATGCATACTACAAAAGCTCCGCTCCACTCTGCCCACTGCAATTCCGGTTGTTTGTTGTTGTTTTTGGGTGGAAGTACCCCTCATATATCTTGAGGTTGGAATTAGAAGGAGTTTAGAACAATATTATGATTTCACATAAAACAGAGGAAATTATAAGCAACGTATGAATAGGCAGAGATGGAGAAGAAATACTATTCCATGAATGAACCTAACAGATAAGTTTAACAGAGTTTACACATAAAAGGCAAGATTCATGAACAAGGAAATACATCAATAGAAAATATCACAAACAAAAGCTGAAAAAATAAAGTTGGGAATGGGGATATGCATTGCATAATCCCTCAGATCGACATGAATTAAATTGGTTGATCATTAAATAAGTTAACCATTTAGACTTGTTTTCTCACGTGCGAAATACAAATATTAATCACTTCTGAATGAGTGAAAATTCACAGGACTTATCCTGACAAAGGTCTGAGCACCACCATTTTCTCTGTGTGTGCAGAGGGGCAAGGAGTGACGGTGTTTTCAACTCATATTCTGAGGAACCTAAACAAGATCAAATTCTCATGGATTCTTTACCTTCAGTTTTGACAAGAAATGCTCTTCTATGTTGTCTGGAAGGAGAGTGCCTTGTAGCTACATATATTAACAAAAGATGTCCAGGGAAATTTGTGAGAACTAGAACTTGACAGAACTTCCTTGTTTATCTGGGTCTCAAAAGCTTTGTCTCTGACAAGGTGTAACCTTATCACTTTTCTATTACTCTCTACTAAGAATCCTACTGCACAAATAAGTGCCCTGAGCTTTCCTACTCTGACAGGTTCCAGTTTTAGCAGGTTTTACTGTATAAGGCAGTCTTTAAACAGGACACTGACCACATCTTTATAGGTTTTCCATGTCCTCATCCTGGATAAGTTTCAGTCAATGAACCCACTTATCCTGTTCTTGAAAAAGAAAAAAAAAAGATTGAACAGATTCTTTTGTTAATTCGTTTTAAAATTTGGAAGCTAATATTAAATGGGAAAAAATTACGTTGTGCATAGAACTTATTTGCAATCAGAATTTACTTAGAAAATGTGTGTATCAGCATTTGCTTTCTTCTTACAGATATAGTATAGCACTAAATTAAGTTAAACACAATTTTAACTTCTAAATGATTGCTATTGAACTCTGATCTTAGTGTTGCTCCAACTTCTGCTTACACATATGGAAGCACCAATATCATTTCATAGTACTTTTTACCATGTTCTGCATCTGATATGCTCACATTACTTCACAATCTGTAACTCTATATATTTTACATAATAGATCCTTTATAAAAATTCTGAATCCTCATAAGCAAATGTGGGGAAGAAAGCTGATGGTGCCCGGCTATCCAAAAGTATAGCGTCTGGGGTCTTAAAGGCTTGAAGGTAATCAAGCGGCCATCAAGCTCAGAAGCAACAAAGCCCACATGGAAAAAAAAGACCAGCCTATGCAACCACAAGGTGTCGAAGGGATCAGGTGTAAGGCATCATCAGAACAAAAAATCTTACCATAGTGAATGATGGGGGGAGTGTGGAGTGGAGATCCAAAGCCCATTAGTAGGCCACTGGAGATCCCCTTGCAGAGGGGTCCCGGGGAGGAGATGAGCCAGTCAGGGTGCGATGCGATGTAACAATGATGAGAAATACAACCTTCCTCTAGTTCCTAAAGGTTTCTTCCCCGCTCCCACTACCATGACTCGAATTCTATCTTGCAAGACTGGCTAGACCAGAGGAGGTACACTGGTACAGATAGGAACTGAAAATACAGGGAATCCAGGATGGATGAGCCCTATAGGACCAGTGGTGTGAGTGGCAAAACAGGGACGGTAAAGGGAGAATGGGTAGGAAAGAGGGAACCGATTACATGGAACTGTGTGTGACCTCCTCCCTGGGGGACAGACAACCGAAAAGTGGATGAAGGGAGACGTTGGACAGGGCAAGATATGACAAAATACCAATTTATAAACTATCAAGGGCTCATGTGGGAGGGGGGAGCGGGGAGGGAGGAGAAAAATGAGGACCTAATGTCGGGGGTTTAAATGGAGAGAAAATGTTTTGAGAAATGATGTACAAATACGCTTTACACAATTGATGTGTGTATGGATTGGGATAACAGTTGTATGAGCCCCTAATAAAATGTTTAAAAAAAAAAAATTCTGAATCCTTTGCTAAATTTTTTTTCTAAAAAATTCATTCACAATTTTCTTTCCAGTCTGAATTTCCTGGTATGAAATCCAAGCCATTATTTTTCATTTTGACTTTTGCATTTTCTCCCTCATGCGAGAGCATGATAGTTAAACACTGAGTCATCACTAAAGTCTTTTTTTCAACTCTGTTTTATGTAGCATGAATCCTCACATTCTAAAACACACCTCTATGGGCAAATGACTTCTCATGACTTTCCATGAACTTTACCTAGTATTTCTTAAAAGTCTTTGTCCTAATATTTTCCTTTCTGTTTTTGTGGTGCCTTAGTTTTCAAAAGCAGCTATGTAGCGAAATGCCACAAAATGGGTGTTCTTAGAAAAAAAACATTTTCTAATAGCTCTGAAAGCTAGAAACCCAAAATCAGTGTTCGGAAGGAACTATGCTCTCTGCTATAAAAGACATTTCCTCATCTCCAAATTCTGATGTTTTGTGGTGGTGTACTTTGGCTTTTAGGTCATCTTAACAGGGCATCTGTCTTACCATGGTGAGACTATCCGTATCTGTGCTTCCTGTGAGAGGATACACACACTCTAGTATTATACCAACTAATAAAAATTTTAAAAAAGGAAAGCCCCTATTTTTAAAGTCACATTCACAGGGATAGAAATGAGGACTTCGACATATCTCTTCAACTCAATCCATGAAGGTTTTCCTCTGCGGAGTTTCCTTGGGCACACAAAGGCTAGCACCGGGCTAAATAATACTGCACAGTGATTTACAGACCTTGAGTCACCTGTGACTCCCTCCTTTCCATCTTGTTTTGAAAGGATCAATTGTATAACAGGGCACATCCCTACACTGAATGTAAACAGAATTCTTCTCCTTTGTGAGTTCTTTGGCTTAATATTAAGACCTATAACTGAAGACTCCTCTGGGGTCCGTGAATGCTACAAGGAAGGTGGAAGTATCTTTCACCATTATTCCATATATAGCATGTGCTTTCAGATTATCTAAAATAAAGCAATAAATGAAGCACATACATAGCATATACATATGTTTGCTCCCTACTGCATGTTTTGTTCTCATTATTTCTAAGGTCAGAACACTGACTAAAGATTTTCCACATACTTGACAAGCTTGTTTTCTCTTAAGTGTAAATTCTCATGCAATCTCATGTTAGAGCACCTAGTAAAGGCTTTTCCACATACATGGCATTCATATGGTTTTTCTCCGGTGTGAATTCTCTCATGCAGTCTCAGGTTGGAACTTCTACTGAAGTTTTTCCCGCATACATTACATTGAAATGGTTTCTCTCCAGTGTGAGTTTTCTCATGATCTCTAAGTTCAGAGCACTGACTAAAGGCCTTCCCGCATAGTTGACATCCATATGGTTTCTCTCCAGTGTGACTTCTCTCGTGCCGTCTCAAGTTAGAACAATTCATGAAAGCTTTCCCACAGAGATGACATTTATATGGCTTCTCTCCAGTGTGAGTTCTGTTGTGTTGCGTCAGGCACGATTTTTGAATGAACACTTTTCCACATATATGACATTCATATGGTTTCTCTCCAGTGTGTGTTTTCTCATGACTTCTAAGTTCATAACTCTGACTAAAGGCTTTCTCACATACTTGACAAATATATGGTTTCTCCCCAGTATGAAGTCTCTCATGTTTTCTAAGATTAGACCTTGTACTGAAAGTTTTTCCACATATTTGGCAGTCATATGGTTTCTCTCCGGTATGAGTTCTATTGTGCTGTGTAAGGCAAGACTTTTGAATAAAGGCCTTCCCACATACACTGCATTCATATGGTTTCTCTCCGGTGTGTGTTTTCTCATGACTTCTAAGTTCATAACACTGGCTAAAGGCTTTCCCACACAGTTGACAAGCATATGGTTTCTCTCCAGTGTGAATTCTCTCGTGTTTTTTAAGGTTAGATCGTGTACTGAAGGTTTTCCCACACATATGGCAGTCATATGGTTTCTCTCCTGTGTGAGTTCTAATATGTTGTATTAGGTCAGAGCTTTGGATGAAAGCTTTCCCACATAGGTGACACTCATATGGTTTACTTCTAGGGTGAATCTGCTTCTGCTCATTAAAAAATGTCTGATCACTAAGAGATTTTCCAAATTCTTCACCGACATCTTCTTTCTTTCCTGTGTGAGTTAAGACATGTTGAGTCAATGTGTCATTGTCAGCAAAATCTTCTCCAAAATCATTATATTTAAAGGCATCTTCACTGAGAGATCTCTGTTTTGGGAAAAACATGAAAAACTGTAAATGTTTATCCCTACATATTCACTCACATACTTTTCTATATATGAATTCTAGAACAATCAATCATTCATTAAAGTACTCTCATTACAACCTTTTTTATGCAAGTTACATGTATACATGATCTATTCCTCTCACGAATGCAGAGATTTACACTTCTGAAGCACCCTGACTGCATGGTTGTCTATTAATTCTGAAGCATTCACGATACTTCAAAAAGTTAGTGTAATTTTTCCATATTCTTTTCATCCCATTTCTCCAAAAACTGTTTGGAGGCCCATTACATATAAGAAGCATGCAAGTAACTGCCTCTTTATAAGACCTTAGATTAGTTTTGAGCACAGGCTAATTTTTTTAATCATTTTGTTGGGGGCTCGTTCAGCTCTTATCACAATCCATACACCCACCCATCGTGTCAAGCACATTTGTAAATTTGTTGCCATCATCATTTTCAAAACATTTCCTTTCTACTGGAGCCCTTGGTATCAGTTCATTTTTCCCCCTCCAGCCCTCTCCACCCTCCCTTGCCCATGAACCCTTGATAATTTAAATTATTTTGTTATGTCTTACACTGATCCGTCTCCCTTCACCTACTTTTCTGTTGTCTGTCCCCTGGGAGGGGGTAATATGTAAATCATTGTGATCAGTTCCTTCTTTTCTCCCCCCCCACCTTCCCTTTCCCCTCCTGATATCACTACTCTCATTATTTGTCCTGAGGGGTTTATCTGTCCTGTATTCCCTGTGTTTCCAGCTTTTATCTGTACCAGTGTACATGCTCTGGTCTAGCCAGATTTGTAAGGTAGAATTGGGGTCATGATAGTTGGGAGGGAGGACGCATTAAATAACTAGAGGAAAATTGTATGTTTCACTGGTGCTATATATGCACACTGACTGGCTCATCTCTTCTTTGTGACCCTTCTGTAAGGGGATGTCCAATTGTCTACAGATGGGCTTTGGGTCTCCACACAAAACTCCCCCTCATTCACAATGGTATGATTTTTTGTTCTGGATCTTTGATGCCTGATACCTGATACCATCAATATCTCATGATCACACAACCTGGTGTGCTTTTACCTGGTGGACTTTATTCCTTCTCAGCTAGATGGCTACTTGTTTATCTTCAAGCCTTTAAGACCCCAGATGCTATATCTTTTGATAGCTGGACACCATCAGTTTTCTTCACCACATTTGCTTATGCACCCATTTTGTCTTCAGTGATTGTGTCAGGAAGGTGAGCATCACAGAATGCTGGGTTATCAGAACAAAGTGTTCTTGCTTTGAAGGGATACTTCGGTAAAGGTTCAATGTCCATCTGCTACCTTAATACTTAACATATAAATATATGTACATATTTTCCCTATTGTTAGATATATATTTACATATGTACATGCCTGTATTTAGACCTCTATAAATGACCTTTGTCTTCTAGTTCTTTACTCCATTTCCTTTTACTTCCCTCTTGTCCCACTATCATGTTCAGCCTTCATTTGGGTTTCAGTAATTCCTCTCAGTTACATTGCCCTTGATCAAGCCACACCAGGCATCCTATGCCTTCCTCACCATCGACTTTAGATCACTTGTTCCCTTGTCCCTGGGGTTAACACCACTTCCTTTCTCCCACCTTCCTGTCTCCCTTGTCCCCACGGAACCGTCGGTTTATTGTTTTCTCCTCCAGACTGTTTATCCTGACTATCTTAACTAAACAGACATGCAGAGACAATAATAAGCACAAAAACAAGACAGAGCAAAACAACCAAAGAAAACAAAACAAAAAAACTAACAACAACAAAAGGAAAGCCTAGAAATATTTCCAGGTCTGTTTGCTGACCTTTAGGAGTGGAGTCTGATGGGGTGCCACACCCTGGCCCCAAAGTGTATTTTTGGTACTCCCTGGGGACTTTCATTGTTTTGCTCCCCTGCTGCTGTTGCATGCCCTTAGCATTTCACTCGTGTGGTGGGGTCAGACAGGGCACAATTCCCACACTGTGCCTCCAGGGTTGACCCTTGCTTGTAGCGCTATGGGTCAGTAAGGAACATTGTGTCTCATGGTGGGACCAACCCTATCATCGTCTCTAAGCACGGGCTAATTTTCTCCATTAATAAACAATTTATCCCAACTTTAATTATAGTAAGGTGATTGTGCTGAATTCCCAACTTATTCCAACCACTGGACTCTTTCTGAAAGGCCAGGCGTCACACATGAGAAACTTACCATTACCAGGATAGTGGGTGTATCCCTCTTGCAGGATATCATCTCCTCTTTTCTAAGTGCACTTCCCCTGAGCAAAATACCTGAAAAGAGAATAATTTTTGAGCATGGCAATTCAGAAGTTAAAATCCTGAAAAATCATAAATGTTCACATAAGTATTACGTCCAATATTGACACTTTGATGGGAAAAGGATATCAAGTTAAGGAATACCCTGTGCAGAAATACATTCATTATAGAACACACTCATTGCCACTGAGTCGATTCCAACTCACAGCGAGCTTGTAGGACAAAGTAGAATGTTCCCTAAGGTTTCTGAGGCTGGAAATCTCTACAAGAACCTCATCTTTTCCCCATACCGCAACTAACACATTCCAACTGCTGACTTAGCAGCCCAGTATGTAATCCACGATGCCACAATGTAAAAGATTCTTGGGACTGCAATATAACAAAAATAAAATGAATATTGATTCAACATACAAAGGATAATCTCCAAAGAGGAGAGCTAGAAAAAGAGCTATTAAGTAAAATTTTAGCTCCAATAGTACATAAATATTTTTTCCTACATAGCCTAAGGCAATAACAGAAGAACACGGGTGAGTAATTAGGCCTCAAAGTCTTCACCTACATGGTTTTAAAAAACACACACTTTAAGTAGATCTGTAGTTTCTTTTTCCAAGTGCCTACTCACTCACTGAAGAAGTCTCTCAGATGCTAACTAAAGGGGTGGCAGTTCAGCAGTTATCTATGGCCCTGAGACCAAAAGAACCAGATAGTGCCACACTACCAATACTAATTGTTCTGAAAAGGATCACAGTAGAACCAAGGTTCCCAAAGTTGGCTGCTCATTGGAATCACCTGGAGATCTGATAAAAATACAAATCCCTGTGCTCCCTTTGCAACTTAATGCATCAGAACCTCTAGAGCAGGGGTTCTCAACCTTCCTACTGCTGTGACCCTTTCAGACAGTGCCTCATGTGGTGGTGACCCCCAACCATAACATTATTTTCATTGCTACTTCATAACTGTCATTTTGCTACTGTTATGAATCAGGAGACCCCTTTGAAAGGGTCGTTCAATCCCTAAAAGGGTTGTGGCTCACAGGTTGAGAACCGCTGCTCTAGAGGGAGGAGCCTAGACATTGGTAGGGCACCAAATTCGTTTTATGCCGTGGTCTGAAACTTGCAATATTCCTTTCCTATATTAATCACCGTGAGCTGCAAAATCACTGCAATTCATTACCTATAAACATACACACACCTATATGAAGGGGGTTCAAAAAGTTCATGAAAACATAAATGAGTTTTCTCATGAGAGTTTTGAAGTCCCCTTTCTTACATAGACACAGCAAGTAGTGGTTACGCGCTGGGCTGCTAACACATGGTCGGTACGTGGAAACCGCCAGCAGCTCTGAAGGAGAAAGATGAGGTTTTCAATTTCCATAAAGAGTTACAGTCTCTATGAGAATTATATGAGGGGGTACCCCCCAAAAAGTTATTTCTTTTTCAAAACTATGTATTTAAATTTTTTACAAAACCTTATCACCTTCAAAGTACTCTCCATTACACTTAATACATTTGTCAAATTTGCAATTCTATTCTTGGAAACATTTTTCAAACTCATCTACTTGGATGGCAGACAGCACCTCCCTCATTTTTTTCTTCACCTGTTTGATATTGTCAAATCACTGTCCTTTCATGTCCCTCTGCATCCGCGGGAAAAAAGAAGTCACACGGAGCGAGGCGAGGTGAGTCAGATGTGTAGGGCAAGAGACGCATGCTGTTTTTTGACAAAAACTGGTGCACTGAGATGGCTGCGTGAGCAGGTGCAGTCATGGTGGCAAATCCAGTCCCCCATCTGCCACAAATCAGGCCTTTTTGGTTGCACACTGTTACCCAATCTTTTCAGAACCTCAAAATAGAAAGTTTGATTAATAAATTGACCTGGTGGAAAGAACTCCAAATGTACTGAGAAAACAAACTTTCCTCGCGGGAAGTTGATGGACATCTAGAATGAGGTTTGTCATCAATCAACATTTCACCTGTTTTGAAACGAGAAAACCACTCGTACACTTGAATTTTTCCCATAGTGCTGTCCTTGTAAGCTGTGTTTAACATCACAACAGTTTCTGTGGCACTTTATCCAAGCAGGAAACAAAATTTCACAGCTGCACACTGTTTATCTTAAATCGGCCATCACAAAAATGAGGCTTGAGTGAAACAGCTTTTAGTAAAAAATTCATTGTGACCAGAAAGAACATTCCCTGGTGACACCACTGGATGTACTAACTCAGAGCAAGTTGCTCAATGCTCACCTACCAGGAAAAACATGTACTATGAAAGTTCTGCTCAGTAGAGCTTTTTTCTGGTTTTGGTGGGGGAACCCCCTCATAAGCCAATACATTTTTATTTATTTTTTATTTTTTAAGTTAACAGTCTTGGAAACACAGAGGCAGGTCAACTCTTGCCTTTAGGGTTGCTATGAGTCAGAATCGACTCGGGAGCACTGAATTAGGTTTTGTTTTTTCATACCTAGAAAGGTAAATTAAAAGGTACGTTTTTTAAAAAGTGAGAAAAAAGAAAAAGAACAGAGACTTAATTCTTTTCTTTCTTTTTTTTAAGACTTAATTCTTTTCTCTTGTCCACCGACAATGGATCTGACAAAAATCTAACGATACATGGTTAGGGTTCAAAAACCAAGTCATTATGGAAAACCAATGTTAAATGAAAATGGAGGTTAACTACATCAGATCACAAAATGGAAGATGGCTACATGATTACATAACTGCCATCCCCTGAGAATCATGGCCCAACCATGTGGATATACAATCTGAGCCATCGCAGCCAGTGCTACCCTTGCCTTCATACCTCAGTGCTCACCACTGCTAGACATCATTAAACATAAAACAGCAGGATAGATTTTTTTTTTACTACTATCAATGGAGGAAAGGTCAGATAATAAGATAAAGTTTACGTGAGGAACAGTGTATTTTTAGTCAGAGCTAAATTATTTTTTCAATGTGATGATGAATTTTATAAAGTCGCCATTCTTGTCTACTCAGTAGCTTCCTTGACCATACGACCTACACTCAATGTTAGTCAAGACACAAACCGAAATTCTTCTGTGCATCAAATTATCAAGAACAGAGACACGCAGTAGAAAACCTTTTGGTCTATTGTGCCAACTTTCATTCTGTCATGAGAATTATCTTACAATGAGAAATCTATGATTTAGAAAAAGTCACTATAGACATATCTATGGTTATGAACATTTTGATTCTAATTTCAAAGCTATTAACATTCTTCAGCATGCGATAGATGATGTAGCTCCTGTGATCTTGTAAAGTCATAGATACTCTCACAGGTCAATCGTGCTGAGCATGAGTTATAATATATGAATGTTTTTATGTAACTGAATCTAAACAAGTAATCAACACCTTCATCAAAGAAAAAACCCAAAGCCCCTTTGGGTTTCTGGGGCTTAAAATCTTTACAAAAACAGCCGCAATTAAGACTGGCTAGACCAGAGGAGGTACACTGGTACAGATAGGAACTGAAAATACAGGGAATCCAGGACAGATGAGCCCTATAGGACCAGTGGTGTGAGTGGCAAAACAGGGACGGTAAAGGGAAAATGGGTAGGAAAGAGGGAACCGATTACATGGAACTGTGTGTGACCTCCTCCCTGGGGGACAGACAACCGAAAAGTGGATGAAGGGAGACGTCGGACAGGGCAAGATATGACAAAATACCCATTTATAAACTATCAAGGGCTCATGCGGGAGGGGGGAGCGGGGAGGGAGGGGAAAAATGAGGACCTAATGTCGGGGGTTTCAATGGAGAGAAAATGTTTTGAGAAACAGTGTACAAATGCGCTTTACACGATTGATGTGTGTATGGATTGGGATAACAGTTGTATGAGCCCCTAATAAAATGTTAAAAAAAAAAGCAGCCGCAACTTTCTCCCACAGAGCAACTGATGGGTTCGAACTGTGGACCTTGTAAGGTTTGCAACTCAATGTGCAGCCCACTGTGCCACCAGAGCCACTTCGGCAACAGCCAGTAATTCATGAGATTGGACATGCCTAAACTTCTCTATGGACAGATCTTATTCTCGTCTTCAATCATGATTTATAAACTATGGGGGGAGGGGATTATTAGATTGTTTTGCTTGATTATCATGATGTATGTTATAGTTACAATTTGTATCTAGCTGATATCTAGACTGTGCGATCGATGTTTAATCCTTTCCCCGGTAGCTCAGCACATGAGGAAATGACTTGTCTCTGGTTTGGGCAGTCCAAACTATGTGTACTAATTTGACTCCTTGTTCCCAGCAAAAAACAAGTGACACACTTTCCGATAGTCAGTCCCACAGACTTTTTTTGAGAAAGAACACGTTCCTCATAATGCGAACTAGAGCCCAAAGTCTGAATGTAACTGCACAGCCACCAGAAGGCCTACCTGGTAAAGCTTCACTTAACCAGTGGACTTGAAATAAATCAACTTCTCTAAAGCTACCGGCGTGTAAGGAACTCAATGCAACTAATCAAGGACATGGTGAAAGAAAGCTTAAGAGCCAAAATTATTTAGAGAGATAGAAATACTGCTCCAGACGTGTATAGAGCTGGATGGAGGATATGCCAAGAAAAAACAGCTTTGTGGTTGGATATATATTATTTAATAAACCTTTCCATGATTTTATAGCCATACTATTTGACTTATATGTGACTACTCATGAAACATGTGGAAAAGGCAAAAGTAGAGGAAAAAGTTTGCTAGTGGTTACCAAGGGCTCAAGAGAAGAGGGAGTAGTGAGTGATTACTTCCAAAAAACCAAACACTGCCATCAACTGACTGACTCGCAGTAATCCTATTGAGTAGATCTGACTCACAGCGATCCTAGTGATCCTACAGAGCAGAACTGCTCCTTAGGGTTTCTGAGACTTTAGATCTTGGTGAGGAGTAGACAGCCTCATCTAATTTCTGTACTCCTTAATAACTCCATAAATCCCAAACACCCCCCACCACTGATGCCTCAGGTGAATGCTCAGACAGGTCTTGCCCAGCTGACCCAGGCAGTTAAACTTCTAGATTACTCAGATGAGTGTTCAGCCAGCTGGGTCCCAACCAACTGACATCACCTTTACTGCTAAGTCAGCACCAGGAAAGGGCAGCCTGTGTGTGAGAACATGCCCAGGGAGGGGACAGTCAGACCACGGGAATCAAAGTCCCCCAAGCCAAGGCTGGCATGCCTGGAGAGCATACCTTCCCATCAGCACTTTATGGGACCACATCGGGTGAAATCGCAGGACTCACCCAAGTTGTGGGAGTGTAGGGCTGGCCCTCCATTGCTATAGATTAGGTGGCTTCTGGGCTGTGCACAGCAGCTAGGCAGAAGGAGGGCTCTGAGAGCAAGACATGAGGCTGGTGTGTTGGCATTCAGCTACATGGGGGCCCAAAGACATATATGCAGTCAGATGTTGCCCAAATGGATAGTAATAGATACCTATTGTATATATTCCATTGTAACTGCAAATAGTTTGAATGAGTCACTGGCCCTGTCCTTATGAATGCTCACTAACATTTTAAAGGAGCAGACACCTAAACCCTCGTCTATGATCCCACTCACTCACTGCCGTCTAGTCAATTCCAACTCATACTGGCCTTAAGACACAGAACTACCCCTGTGGGTGTCCAAGGCTGTTATCTTTACAGGAACAGGAAGTTCGTTTTTCACGCATGAAGCCGCTGTTGGGTTTGCACCGCCTACCTGTGGCTTGCATCCCAACACATAACTCACCACACTGCCAGAGCTCCTTTTGCCATCTAATGAACAACAACAAACCCCAAGAAAGTAACCCAGGAAAGTGTTTATTTGAAATGCTGGCCAGAGGTTTTAGGCACATTCAAGTTCAGAAACCATTCATTCATTACAGATCATTTGAAGAAAAGAGAAGTTAACGTCCAGATGCCACTGTATGAAGCAACTCAGTTTTGAATCAGCAAAGCCTCAATTATTCCCTTAAAAAAGAGGACTGAGGTGCAGTATAGCACCGATGAAACACTGATGAAGCATGCAACTTTCCCCTAGTTCTTTAATGCTTCCTCTCCCACTATTATGATCCCAATTCTACCCTCCAAGTCCGGCTAGACCAGAGCCATGTACACAGGTACAGATACAAGCTGGAAGCACAGGGAATCCAGGACAGATAAACCCCTCAGGGCCAATAATGAGAGTAGCGATACCAGGAAGGTAAGGGGAAGGTAAGGGGAGAAAGGAGGAACCAATCACAATGATCTACATATAACCTCCTCCTTGGGGGACGGACAACAGAAAAGTAGGTGAAGGGAGACATGAATAAACAATAATTTATACATTATCAAGGATTTGTAAGGAAGGAAGGGTTGGGGAGGGGGAAAAAGAGGAACTGATTCCAAGGGCTCAAGTAGAAAGAAAATGTTTTGAAAATGATGACGGCAACAAGTGTGCAAATGTGCTTGACACAATGTATGTATGTATTATGATAAAGAACTCTATGAGCCCCCAATAAAATGATTAAAAACAAAACATAAATGAGAAAATAAATATTCCATTAAGGAAGGCAGACGCTGGTATGCGACTTATAATAGAAACTGCCAAGATATTAAAGGGCAGACCCTAACTCAGTACCCCATCCAACTGGACCAGATTTCTGTAGTTCCCCAGCATTAGATCGCTTTACAAAGCCCACAGAGAGGGATCTAAGCATTCCTAACCTAACCCTTATGCAACAGATAAAAAGTACATTAAACCAAATTATCTTTATTAACCATAATAGCTTCCACAAATCCTGCATCTAGTGTGAAAGAAACTTGGGGCTCAATGAAAGTGAATGTTTTCTGTTTGAAATCAGTGCTTCCCAAAGTGGGCCAGACCACCCCCTGGAGCGCTGGAACAACCGAGGCGCATCAGTAGCCTCAGGTGCAGCTGGGAAGGCTGTGGACGCAGAGGAGCTAGGGTAGCACTGCCAGGAAACATGGTTGGCAGTTGGAAATCAAATGCTCCGCAAAAGAAAGATGAGCCTTTCTTCCCCTGCACAGTTATAGTCACTGTGACCACAGGGGCATTTCTACAGCGATACTGCAGGGTCTCTATGAGACAGAATCGGCTCAGTGGCAGTGAGTGAAAACACAGAGCATGTATATATAAAACCACACACATTGGAAAAAAAAGAAAAAGACGGAGCAGTAGGACAAATAAATTTGGGAATCTCTGTCCTCAATGTATGTTTATTTATTTCTTTTTGAACATTTTCTTTTTAAATCATTTTATTAGGGGCTCATACAACTCTTATCACAATCCATACATACATCAATTGTGTAAAGCGCATTTGTACATTCATTGCCCCTCAATGCATATTTAAACGCATGTTTCTAAAGAGGGTGTTTATGTTGTCTAATCATTTCTCCATAGCCCATTAAACATCAGGAGCCCTGATGATGTAGTAGTGGGTTATGTCCTGGGCGGGTAACCACAAAATCAGCAGTCCCAAACCACCAGAGACTGACTCTGTATGGGAAAAAGGAGGCTTGCAGGCCTATAAAAATTTAGTCTGAAGCCCACAGGGGCAGTTTTAACTCTGTCACATAGGGTCGCTCTATGTCAAAAATGACTTGACGGCACTGAGTTTGGTCTTCATGAACACAAACTTAGAGAGCTGATTAGGATTATAATGACTGTTGCTCTTCCACAATGTCTCGGAAAGTGTCGTAAGCATTTCATAATTCATCTCTTAACTAAAACTCCTATGAAGCTGGTATTGCAGTTGTCATTCTATAGATGAAGGTCCAGGATGGCTAAAGTATTTACTTTAAGATCTTTTTCCCCCCTTTACTCTTTAATATTTTTCCACAGTCTTGTTTTTAATATTTCTGAGCACCAGGATGGCACACATTCTAACATGCTCAGCTCCTAATCAAAAGGTTGCAAGTTCAAGTCTACCCACCAGCTACTGAAAAGATTCACCTAGGGACCTACTCCCCCCCACCCCCCAAGCAGCCACTGAAAATTCTACTCTGATACGCATCTTGTCAGCTGTAAGACCCCTGGTGGCGGAGTGGTTATGTGTTGGGCTGCTAACCATAGGTTAGCAGTTCAAAACCTCTAGCTGTTCCATGAGAGAAATAGAAGGCTGTCTTACACCTGTAATGAGTTACAGTCTTCGAAATCTACTGTGGCAGTTCTACCCTATCCTACAGGGTCACTTTGAGTCTGAAATGATTCCATGACAGTGAGTTTGATTTTGGAGACAGGGAGTGATTTTTATTTATATTTCAGTTAGGGATAGGTGCTGTCCAATCAGTTCCAACCCATAGCAACCCACCCAATGTACCACAGAAGGACAGCATGCACGGTCCTGTGCCAACCTCACAACTCTTCCTATACTTGAGCCCTTTGTTGGAGCGACTGTGTCAGTCCATCTTGTTAATATTCCTAGGGAATATTGGGTGTACAAATTGTATATTCATAGAAATTATGTACCTAAGCTATGTTAAGGCTATAACTAAAGAAATAATGCAGATTCAAAAAATGTTGATAAACTATTGATCTTGAATGGAAAAATTCAAAACAATTCCCTTTGAAATCATCACATCAACCACGCAATAAAATGTAAGCACACTGAGGAGTTAGTTTATCTAAATTAGTGAATACCAACTAAATCTTTATCCAAGACGACTTGGATGCACCAGCTGCACATGCATCAAATACGTGTCCATGTCGAGTGAACAGGACAATGTCAGCTAATTTCAAATAAGGTGATAGCACATGCATCAAATATGTGTCCATGTCGAGTGAACAGGACAATGTCAGCTAATTTCAAATAAGGTGATAGCTTACCGTATTTAACAATCCTCTAGTCACTGCATATGGTGTCGTCTGCAACTTGATATTAACATTTGACACGATATAAAAAAACAAAGGACGTATCAAAGTCACCTCAGGTTTTTCTACAGTGAAATAAAAAGAAATGAGTCAGAGACGGAAAATGCCAACAAGTCAAGAAGCAGAAGATAGTCTCTCATCTGTCCGCAGAATCGCAGGAAGTTTTCTGTAACCTGCGTTCCGATCGATCGACCTGGAGCCACTGTCGTTATGAATACAAGAAGGGTGGCCTCCGCAGCGACCGTGGTGTCTAACCCCGTCTCTCAAAGGACCCGCCGGTTTGGAAATGAACGAGCCGGCGGTTCGAGTCCTGAATGCGCCGCGGGAGGAGGACCCCGGGGGGCCACCCAGGAGGCCGATCTTGCCGGACCTCACGGGTCTCAGGCTGACAAGGGCCGGCCCCGGCCTGCCCGGGCCGAAGGGGCGCTGGCTGCAAAGGGGGGCCGGCCGGCGGTCGCCGCCTGCGCGCGGCGTCACCGGAGACGGCGGCGGACCCGGGACTCGGACGCCCTCCGCCCGCGGCCAGACCGGAAAGGTACGGGGCGCGGGTGGGGCGCGGGTGGGAGAGACGCGCGACCCCCTCAGGCACCGCTGCTGCTGGCCATCCCCTTCCGGAACGACCGGAAATAAGGCCTGGGGGACGGGATGGGCGGAGCCTAGGCTGGTCTGGGGGCGGAGCCTGCAAGCCGTGGCACCTGGACATGGGCGGAGCTGAGGGGCGTGGCGGGAGGGGGCGGGGCCTGTGCGCCCCTCTGAAGCTGCCTTTGGGAGGGAGCCTGGTGATGTGTTGGGCTGCTAACGGTTAGATCTGCAGTTTAAAAAATTTACATCCACCCGTTGCTCTGTGGGAGCTCCCCAAAATTCAAAGGGGCAGTTATGCCTTGTCCTAAACTCTGCCCTTCCGTGTCACTCTGATTTGGCATTGACTTGCTCAGGGCAGTGAGTTTGTTTGGCTTTTGCTTCCTTGGTAGAATAAGTGTTGTTGAAAGTTTCGCCCTATTAAGAACCCCCATTATTTGTGTAAATAAATAATGTCTAGTCACTTAAGAGTTTCATCTGTACAAGTCAACCCTTTTTTGTCAACAGTGTTTACATTCTATACCATTGGCTAAATTAATGACACTATCAATAGAATTATTTTATGCCCCAAGGCAATGATAATGTTCTCTATCATAAAATGATAATAATGTCTCTAAAGTGAACCAGAGACGTTGATAAGCCATGTATATTTGAACAGATTTCTGACTCATACTTAATTCTAGCCCCAATCTTAGAACAATTCGTTCTTATGACATGGCCTTGGTTGATGCTCACCCTCATGAAGAGATCACTGAAAATATGGGTGCCACGGCCAAAGGTAGTGAAGAAACTAGGTGGTGTCCCACAATCAGAATGGACAGCATCTGTGGTCTTAAAGGCTTGCCTTAAAACAAGCAACCCTCTGAGAGAAGTCAACTAAATCCACATGGAAGAAGCACACCAGCCTCTGTGATCCAAGGATTGTAAGTAATGGAATCTAAATCTGAAGGAGGAAATGGCATCAGAGCTTAAACTGTGAACACTTGGTTTACAGAAGACTATGGAAGCCCAAAATCCATTTGCTGTGTTCCCCCACATGGATTAAGCTTCTGGTAAACCCCTTCTGGCCATATTGAGAGGATTTGAATAAATTTGCTATCAGACAAGGAGCTTGTAAAATCAATTCTTAATATGTTGTTTATTTTTTATTGAGATTTTTCACTGCTTTCTCTAGCCATTGTTGTTGGAAATGGGGAGCTAATAACGAGTGTGGGAAGAAAATGTTCCAAAATGTATTGTGGTGATGATTCCACAAATTCATTTAGGATTACTGAGCAATTTAATTGTATGCTATGTGAAGTAAATGCTAACAAAAATATTTTTAAAGACAAATTACCTGCCATTGAATGGATTCCAACTCATAGAGACCCTATAAGACAGGATAGAACGGCCCCTGCAGGTTTCTGAGACTGTAACTCTTCATGAGTAGAAAGGCTCATCTGTCTCCCAGAGAACAGCTGGTGGTTTCAAACTGCTGACCTACAATTAGCAACCCAACGTGTAAGAACTGTGGCACCAGAGCTCCACCTGGACGAGGGCCTCTTCTTATCTCCCAACCCAAACTGAGCCTCCATTTTTGCTGACCTACTGCTTGGTAAAGTGGAAGATCCGTTAATAAGAAGTAGGCTCTTTCATGAGGTGGATTGACACAGTGGCTGCAACAATGGGCTCAAACATAATGATTTGAGGATAGTGCAGAACTACGCACTGTTTCGTTCCATTTTACATGGGGTCACTATGAGTCTGGACCAACGCACCAGCACCCGACAACAGAGTTATACTGATGAAAGGACCTGCAATCTATGTTTGACTGGTGAAAGCCTTACGAGTACCAGTGGAATCTTGCCAGATACAGTGCCAGACAATAAGCTCCTCCGATTGGAAGGCACTCAAAATACGAATGGGAGAAAAGCTGCCTAATCCAAGGAGTACTGTTGTTAGGTGTCATCTACTCAGCTCAGACTCATAATGAACTAGTACAACAGAACCAAACACTGGCTGGTTCTGTGCCAGCATCATAATTATGTGATGTTGGGACCAGTTTGTAAACCAATGTGTCCATCCATCTCATTGAGTGTTCCATTTTTGTTTTGTTTTTTCCTTTCTTTTCCTTTTTTGGTCAACCCTCTACTTTACCCCACCCTTTGGCTGTTTGATGTACTACATGGTGGCTTGCACTTTCCTGGGATGCTTTTGGGACCTTCATTTGCTAATGTAGCACAACTCAAAATGAGGAGAAACAGCTGCAAGCATCCATTAATAATCAGAAATTGGAATGTACAGAACATGAACCTAGGAAAATTGGAGGCCATCACAAATGAAATAGAACACTTGAGGATCATTATTTCTTAGGCATTTAATGAGCTAAAATGGGTGAACATTGGTCATTTTGAATCATACTATCCTGGAAATGACGATGAGGGATGGCATCACATTTATTGTCAAAAAAACCATTTCAAGATCTATCTTGAAGTATAATCCCTTCAATGATAGAACAGTGTGTGTCCATTTACACAGAAGACCGGTTACTATGACTATAATTCAAATTAGCACAATAACCGCTAACACCAAGGTAAAGAAATTGAAGATTTTTTGTCAACCTCTGCAACCTGAAATTGATCATGCATGCAATAAACTGCATTAATAATTACCAGTAATGGAATTGGAAAGTTGGAAACAAAGAAGCATCTGTAGTTGAAATGTTGGCTTGATGAACAAACAACAAAAGATACAGTTTGATAGAATTTTGCAAGGTCAATGATTTGTTCATTGGAAATGCCTTTTTACAACATAAATGACAACTATACACGTGCACAGACCATCAATTGTTCATATGGAAGTTCAGGTGAAACTGAAGAAAATTAAAACAAATTTGCAAGACCCAAAATATGACATTGAGTACATTCCTTCCAAATTATAAGTACAGACTTGATGCATTGAACACTAATGACAGAAGGCCTGCTGAGCTGTGGGAAGATATCAAGAGCATTGTTCATGAAGAAGGATCATTAAAAAGGCAGGAAAGAGAGAAAAGATCAAAATGGATGTCAAAAGAAACTTTGAAACTTACTCTAAGTTTACTTCCATAGCTAAGGCAAATGGAAGAAATGATGAAGCCAAAGAGCTGAACAGAAAATGTCAAAGGGCAGTTCAAAAAGACAAAGTCAAATATTATAATGAATGTGAGAAGACCTAGAGTTAGACAACCAAAAAGGAAGAATACACTCAGCATATCGTAAACTCAAAGAACTCGAGAACAAAATTAAAGTCTCAAGTTGTGATATTGAAAGGCTCTATGGGCAAGATATTCAATGATACGGGAGGCGTCAAAAGAAGATGGAAAAAATACACTGAGTCACTGTACCACAAAGAACTACCATTTCAGAGGGTTGCCTCATATGCATGTGAAAGTTGGACGATAAATAAGGAAGACTGAAGAAGCGATGTATTTGAATTGTGGTGCCCTCACACAATATTGAAAGTACTATCGGCTGCCAAAAGAATCAACCAATCTGTCCAGGAAGAAGTATGGTCAGAGTGCTCCTCAGAGGCAAGGATGGCAAGACTTCATTTTACATACTTTGGACTCAGGAGAGACCAGTTCCTGGAGGACATTATCCTTAGTAAATTTGATACAGTGGCTACAACATACGCGTAGACCTCTCCAGAGAGAATACACAGAAATCAACTCAACCACATTGTTTGAAAGAGATGATAGAAACTCAATATCACGAGTCAGAACAAAGCCAAAAGCTGACCAAACAGACCATCAACTGCTCATATACAAGATCAAGTTGAAGCTAAAGGACATTAAAACAAGTCTATGTGTTGTGGCAATATAAGATCAAAGTTAGTAAGCCTTTATTAGCTAGTGGTCTAAGGGCAGATAAAGCCTAATTCTCGCAAGACACAGAGTGCTCAAAGTGGGAAGTTTTTACACTAGGGAATAAACAAGACATAGGGGTAGGGTGGCATTACATTGTATGGAGAAAAGGGGACCTTGAATACAGAGGCATAGCGGGCAGGTAGCAATGCAATGTATGGAGAAAAAGGAGAAAGAGGAGAAAAGGTTTAGACACTTATCAGCAGTTTCCAAACCAAATGACACAGTTCAGCGGTTACAGAAAACAGCAGTTACAAGAGGAATTACAGGAGTTTCAAATTTGTTATACTTGGATCAGTCAAAAATGACTATAATTAAGCTAATTAACCCAATATGGTCACATTGTTAAAATGGCTACATCTAAATTGACTCTTACATCCTGGTCACATTGGGGTTCATTGTGGTAGCTTACTATATATGAAAGCCAGCATAGAACCTTGACTCTATCCCACTAGAATTAGAAAGCATCTCAAGAATCAATTAGATGCACTGAACACTAATGACCAAAGACCAGACAGATTGTAGAAGACATCAAAGACATAATATGTGAAAAGATGAAAAGGTTGTTGAAGAGACAGAAAAGGTCAAAATTGACATCAGATGTCATTGCTTTTAGGTGTTGTTGAGTCAGTTCAGACTCATAGTGACTCAATGTACAACAGAATGAGACACCGGTCCTGATGCCATCCTCAGAATTGTTCCTATGCCCATTGTTGCCCATTGTTGCTGCCACTATAATTGTTCCTATGCCCATTGTTGCCCATTGTTGCTGCCACTGTAATTGTTCCTATGCCCATTGTTGCCCATTGTTGCTGCCACTGTATCGATCCATCTCATTGAGGGCCTTCATCTTTTTTGCTGCCCCTCTGCTTTACCAAGCATGATG